ATCCACAGAGATACTTAGGCTCCTAACTTCCACTTATTCCTTAATGCTGACTATAGGTTATATTTTCTTAGTTTTCTAGCATTTGTTACAGATACAAACAGGCTTAGAAAATATTTAGATTCAGTGATCATATGATTACATAAAAGCAAACTGCATTTTAAAAAAATACCACCACTAATTTTTCTAAACCAGTTCTTAGTGTGTTTAATTTTATATAACTAGCCCAATTGCATCTTCGAGTTTCTAGAGTGGCATTGCAGCTCCAAAGACTTGTGCTTCTTCCCTTAGTGCCGGATCATAACAGTTGTCTGTTCTGTATAACACATGTTTACATAGTACATTTACTTCCTGTAGCTACAAAGAAAAGTTAATGAATAACCATTCCTGCACTTCAATTTTGCAGGGCTGTGGGCAGGATCAGTGCATGGGAAAAGAGTTAATGTTCAGCCTCTCTCTGGCACTTTAAAATGTGTGACTGAAGACTAATCCCGTACATAGAAAAGAAAACATGGGAAACAAACTGGTGTTGGCTGGTTCTCCCATGCTTTGTTGTAGTAAAACTGTGAGATGCATATACATGGGAGTGGAACAGAAGAGGTATTCAGTGAAGAATACCAGAAGCCATGGACACCCCATGATAGGCAACACATTTGTTGCAGTTGTGTACACTCCCTTAGCTTCTTGCCTCCAGAATAAACACATGGGGTCTCATCGTGCCAACTCTTACTACCAGGTATAGTCATCCTGCCAACACTTACTACCAGGTATAGTCCCATTGATTGAAGTCATGGAGATGGGGGAGCTTTTCAGAAGCCTCCAGGCCTGGCAGATTGGAGGTATTTTCATTCTAATCCAGCTGTGTTTGGACGCTTGTATGCCAAAACTAATTCCATTTGATAACTGAACTTCTTCATTTACCCTTGGGGTTTCAAAAAGAGATGTCCCAACTCGCTGTGGCATCCCTCCCAAGCATGGACCCTGCAAAAGGTGGAGTTTTGTTTAGAGTGGAAAAAATCATTTTAAATGGAAGAATTTGATGTTTTGTATGCAACTGTAAAAGCATTGCATAGCAACAAACATGCCAAGTAAACCACTGTGTTAGTTATGTTGTTCTATTTGCTTGAGTTATCTAAAATACATCTGTCTAAAGCACTGAGTGAATTATGTAAACTTGAAAAGGCAGCACACACGAGGACCAATCCACACTAAAGGAAATCTAAATAGAACGAGTCAGATGCTCAGCTAGTGTAAATTGTAATCGCTCCATTGCAGCCAATGAGAGCTAGGATATCTTATCCCAACCAAGGATCAGTGCCAGCATCTGTTCTGTGGTTTATAAAAAATGGACAAATACCATATACAGAATAGGTGCACTAAACCAAGTTAAGACAAGAATATTTCCTGGTAGGGAGAGGAGGTCCCAATACTTCTGAAAAGGGTTTGTATCACAGTGTAAAGAAATTGCTTTGTGCAGCTACAATCCATGCTACCTACTTTTTAACTGCAACCTCGGTGCTACCCTGGTCATGGGCTTCAAAGGCCACACAATGAATACTTCTTAACAGGGTGGCATATAGGATAGCACATTTCAGTTCTTACTAACAGGTTGAAAAATCATTACTCGTAGCAACAAAGCTGAGATTCATGAACACAATTTCATACCAAACAGATTCTTGGGTGGTTTAAAAAAAACAAACAATCTAACATTTTCTTGAACACAGATTTATTTAGCTTTTAAGAATAAAGGATTAGTTTTGCTCATGATATAATTCTGACTAATGAAGAATAAACTGGAGTCCTTTCCTTTTACAATGTCACCAACATACAGTGTAGTTTTTTGATCACACCCCAAATTAGCTTGAACTGCAAAGCTAATAATTGAGCCAATAGAGCCTACTCTTGGAAATGTATTTGTTTTTCTCTGAAGATCTTAACTTTTGGCAAATTTCATAAATCCTGAATGTGTGGTTGTGAGCCTGATGCAACTATCAAATTACTAAAACACTATTTGTGATGCACCTTTTTAGACAAGTCTTAAGGTTATTAGAAATGTTTTGAAATAAAGAAAACATTTTTTTTTATCACAAGTGATGATCACAACACATGACATTGCTATCTAGTAGATATTACTGCTAATGAGGTTTAAAGATAATAGAGTTTCTTTACTACCAGTCACGGGGAGCAGCTGAGAAAGAGATCTTAGGATGCAATATTATTTCAGTTAACAAATGCTGCCTCCAACTGTTTGCTGTAGTGAACAGCAGATTCCTTTAAAATTCAGTCAGAGGATAAATATTGAAGGTAGAGCTGGTAGAATTACATGTTACTAATAAATTACTGGAGAAATATATCTTTGCATAACAAAATAGCAGGCCCAACCCAAAAGGATTTACAATCTAAGTTTTTAAGCTTTGTCAGTCATTTATCCTTATTTGGGACTATTTGGTCATATGATATAGTTTCTGCCCCTCATCCTCTCTCACAAGATTGGAGGATAACAAATTAATAACAAATAGTGAATAATGAACAGCAAGTATTGCAGGGACTGGCTTTTTGTTATATGTTTGTACAGTGCCTAGCACAATGTGATCCTGATCTATGATTGGGAACCTTTGCTGTTACTATAATAGTTGCATGAGAATATATATAGCATTTATATGAACAAAGGGTATGAACACTTGACTCAAATTTAATGCTTTCTATCACTTTTTTCAGTATTTGATCCTCAAAGTGTTAAACTTCTATTCCCATGCAAAAACTAAAGTTTTGTGACTGGCAGCCACATTTATATTGAGACTTGTTCAGTTTTAATATACAGTATTTTATCTGAAACCTCCCCTACTGGCGGGGGGGGGGGGGAAGAGTATCTTGCCCTATCTTGAAGGTAGTGGTCTGGGATGATCTCATAGGTTTCTCTTCCATTTTTAGGATGGGATTTTCAAAAGCAGGTGAGGGACTGATTTTCTTAGGTGCTTTTGAAAATCCCAATCTTATACCCATTTGTTACACTTTCTTTGGTATTTGAAGTGCAAGCTCTTCAGGCCAGGGACTGTCTGTAATTCCATGTTTGTACAGTGCCTAGCACAACGTGGTCCCACTCTTGCTTGGTTCTTCAGCACTACCATAATAAACAAGATTAGTAATATTTTGTATCTGGATCCTTGATGTCATGTGGAAAATATAAGGAACTCATAGCGCATTGATGGCTATTCATTTTTCTTCAGTGGTACACCTCTACCCCGATATAATGCGACCTGATATAACACAAAATTCGGATATAACGTGGTAAAGCAGCGCTCCGGGGGATCAAAGCAAGTTCGATATAATGCGGTAAGGACAGCGTTATATCAGGGTAGAGGTGTACTTATTAAATAGGAGTTATGGAAGGACTGCATGAGGAACAGCACTTATGTTAAGCCTATGAAATTATCTGAAAAGGTGCTTGGTAAAAAGCACACTTTCTTAGGTCAAGCTCTGCCTCACATTTGTTCAACAACAGCATGAATGTAAGGTCAAGGGAATTTCATAGCTCTAAAGACCAGGGAATCAGAACACTGGTCTACGAATAATCACTCTTAGATGCATTTTGTGCAATCCCAGGAATCTGAAAAATAACCCAACTTTGTAGCAAAATACAGAGCTGCATGAAGAGGATAGTAGATATCATGATCATCTAATTCTACCCAATTTTCAAACTCACAGCACAGCTTTTTACTCCTGACTAAAACAAATCTTTTCACATTTAAGCTTGAGAACATATTTTGCGAGCTACTGTGTTCTGAGCAACTTTGAAAATATGGCAACTTTAGTGGTGTACAGGGAAGCTGTACTGTTTTGAAAGTCTAGCCCCAGAAGTCATTTAGTTACAAAGTCAGACAACAGAGTCAGGAAAAAAAAATCCAGTGTGTTAATATATGCATACACCTTCCGAAGGCCTGCTGTTGTTTCTTCACCTTACTAAATGGTCAGAGCTGAGGTTCCTTCTATTACCTCAAAGCCCAGCACACAAATTCCAAAGAAGTGTGGCTAGAGGATGGGCGCACTGTAGGTAGTCTTGGCAAAGAGCTTGTTAGCATGTTGTTCTTCAAAGCCCAAATGGTCTGAAGGACAGGCACCTGTGTTTTCAGGAAATTAGACTAAGAAAAATAAAACACTTTCTCTTTGCCCTACTGTTCTCATTCTTAGCCTTGCAAAAGCCATGAGAAACCATGAGCCACACATGTAGCCATGAGACCCAACAGAGTAAGGAATAAGTGAATGGCTGATTCAGAACTAATTGCATTTTCCAAATGAGATCCATGAATGTCTGTCTGGTGAAGATAGGAGCAGAGGTCCTACTAGATGCTCCAGAGGCTGGAAGAATGAAGAGGGAGGGCTGTAGTTTGCCACATTCAGTACTGCAAAGTGGTATGCATGCACCCCAATGGCCAAAGTTCTCTCGGCCAAGATGTGCAATGTGTAGGTACAACCTGTGTGCATCATTGTAGATAGTACGCCAACGATGATCACAGAGTCTCTAAAATCTTTGTTATGCAAGTAATAACTACTGTTTTACATTTAAAAATGAAATGAAGGGACTAAGCGTAGTGGCTTGAACCAGTGTAATGTGGAAGTTTCCCACTGCCTGACCATAGTGACCAGTTAGATCAATGATCACAATTCTAACCTACATCATTCACTCCAGTTCTAAACCTGTCTTTTTACACCCATGCCACTAGTTTTCATTTCCTTCTTTGGAACATTCCTAATTTCTATGTCCTTTTGACTATGTGGTAATGAAAAGTGAATGTTTAAATGCAAAATTATAAATACCACCCGAGAAACATACTGCTACAGGTACTGTTGAGGAAGGGGTATATTTATATGTAGCGGGACTGCCAAAGTTTGTGTCTCTTCCCTGGACAAACAGAATATATAAAATGTACAGGAACTAAAATGATAATTGATCCACTAGTTCTCCAACTGGGATTTTCAATGAAGGATTAATAACTCCTAAAAAATGCAATTCAGATCTTTAATGGTGTTAGCCAGATCCCCTTTGATTAAATTGTGAAAGAAACATTACTTTCTGGATGCACAGAATAATGACACACACTAGTGACAAAGTTACCAGACAGCCAATAAAGATCTTCATACTTCTATACAACCGAGCTAATGGTTTTAGAATACAAAAGAAAAGGACATTTCTGGAGTGATCTTCAGACTAAACAAGTCAATCTGTTATTGTAATAAGCCTCTTACAGCACAAATATGTAAATACTAAAAAATGGTGACCTGACCAAGAGGCATTTATCTGTTTTACATCCTTTAGGAAAGACACATGAATTGATGTTAATCGGTAGATGGCTTGTTTATTGAATTCATGCAGGCCCCTTTCTTTTTGGGGGAGAGAAGAGAGAGATTTATTTTCATAATTTTTGAAAAACAAAGATAAAAATGAGGTATGCAACATAAGGACATATCACTTTTAGGATCAAGATGAACATTTATATTTTCTGATTTTCAATGTACAAAACCAAATTTCTACCCAAACTATGAATCATTAAAGATTGGTACTAGCAGATAAAATGAAAAATTAAACTAATCAAAAAAGGTACCATGACAACAGTGAGTGTAAAAAATACTCAATACTTATTGCTGAGAACTTAAAAATGTTAGTATTTTCGCATGTAAACAAACTTAAAAAAAAAAATCACACACCAAGTTTCGCCCATTTCTGTGCTAATATTAGCAAACAAGGATTTCAGGAAATGCTGTTAACTCAAAATGTGTAACGTGGTTTTGTTGGTTTTTGTTGTTGTTGGGGGGGAGGAGGGGATATTTGTTTAAGCGCATATGAGAGAGAATGGGTCGCATGTGGCCATGGAAAGGGCCAAATATTAGCTTCACCACACTGATAGCTTTTTTTCAGTTCAATATTTTTCCCAATACATTTATTTCAGTTGTTTTCCTGGTCATTTTCAGGTACACTATAAAAAATAAAAATCAAGCTTTAAAGCACATAGTACACTTAAATAATAGATACATTTCAAATCATTTTGAGGTAAGAGCTCAGAGTCTCATTGTGCACTTGACAAATGTTCCATTTTCAGGAAGTGCAATTATCCAACTCCAATCAGCAACACTGACGCTACATAAATGCCAAATTCTGCTTTCAAAGGCATTTTGATGGAAGCTGCACTTAAAGGAGTAGAAATATTCTAAGAATTTTGGCCACATTAAGTTTTGAGGCATTAAAAAATAATAATTTTGAGATGTAACAGAAACCAAGTGTTTCAAGACAGCTTCACTTGTGTTGCTAGCTGCATTAATGTTAGCTTTCTCTCGCTGAAAGTCCTAATTTTTATCAAAGCTTTGTGCGTAAGCTCCATGGATTCATCCCATTTGTTTTTCTCTGGGCTTGTGTAGGTCACCAAGTTTTCAGTATACTGCAAGATTGACTTTAGAAACCTACAAGAAATAAAAAATATATGAAAAAGTCATTCTTTAAAAGACTTTCTAAAAGGAAGACAGACCAGACCTTGATGATGCCCAACTTGGGGCTGCTACTTTTTCCTGATTTCCAAGTCTCCCAACTATCACATGATCATTGCTACATCACTTGTCCTTTACGTACGGCAAGGGTGGGTGGAGAGAAAAAGACAGGGACAAGCAATAATTTTCAGAACTGCAGTTCATAGTAGTGCACAAAAATGCAATATTATGGGACTATAGAAATATAACAGTATATAGAGGAGTTCTCTCCTACAATTTCCTTTCTTTGGCAGCCAAACACTTTACAATGCCTGTGATCTCCAATTAAGTGTAGAGTGGAAATAATGAAGTTGATTACATGCTAAAATCAAAAGTTTATTATGTATTCTTAATTTTGGGCTTGAATGTCAGACTATCCTCCTATTTGTGCCAATGGGAAGTCTAATAAAAATTGAAACTGTGGCTAGCTGAACATGTTGTAAACAAAGACTTTTCAGTTAGCGAGCCCCTCACCTGTCCCCCAAATTGGTACTGCAAAGACAGGGGAAACAGACTGACTATCTGATGTATCACATGCTGTTAAACCGCAATTTCAATAAGGCTACATAATGTAGACCAAAGATGTTCAAAGGAGGGTGAAAAGAGTCTATATTATTCACTTATTTTAATTAACCAACTACTATATACTCACTTTATATACTGCTGATAATCACAAGGATTCTTCTCACAAATAGTATGGATGTTAATTAGTTCCAGAATAATCAACATTAAAATCAGCCGTAACACAGGAGACAGAAATTTAATGCTAGAAATAAGCAGAAAATTGTAACAGAGGTCTTTTTAATACAAAATTGTTCTTCAGATTTCCAGTTCCACCCTAAAATGGGTATGGGGAGTGAAAGAAAAAAGTCTGAAAGATTCATTAGTGAAAAATGGAGCAAAGATCATAGCTATGAACAATTTACAAGCAAGAAAAAAGAGCCATATATGTAAGTTTCCAGAGGGAAAAAAAAATGTGTCAAGATAGGGTTATGGTCAGTGCTGAATTTATAATGAAAGAGGTGCCGGGGCTCAAGCACGTTTTTTACATTCATAACTGATGTGACAAGCCCAGAGGTCCCGGGGCTACGAACTGCCAAGCCTAGAGGTGCTGGGGCTCAGCCCTGGCAAAAATTAAGTACTGGTTATGGTTGAGAGTACATAATAATTTACGTCAATACACATTTTTAGTGACACCATTAAATAAGCATATATATATATAAAACTCAGGCATTTTAGCATTTGTAATCCCAGATAAAATTAAAATTATTTTTAACTTTTTAGAATTTTCATTTCCCTGACCCCACTCATATAAAGTTTAATCATAGACCCCAAGAAACACTGCTGGTTAGGTGTTACATTAATGGAATCCTAGCCATTACTCCTGATCTGGCCAGCATCTTACTCGATAAAATGTTGAGAGAAGCATTGATAAGATGGGGACAACCGCTGTAATTCAGTTTTAACAGACTGGAAGTTTCACTTTTTCCCTCTCCTTTCCTTTTTTAGTGCTTAGGTTCATCCAAGAGAACAAACTACAAAAACCAAACATTTAAATTACCTTTTTATTTGGACCCTAATAATTCAGGCCAGACAAGAGAAAAATGTTAAAGATATCCAAATAAATTATTCTCCGGTTTGAGTTTTACTTGCATTAATATACTAGTGTATAATGGAAATTATGGAAGATTCTTAACTCTAAGTAGACCAATGACACACAAACCTAGTTAGTTTTAACATTGTATAAGCAGAATATGGAAGCGTACACACGCAGAGTAAAAGGAAAGAAGTGTTCAGTTACTCTGTTAAATCCACTCTTAAAATTACCCCTTCATCTCCAAAAAAAAGGGGGAAAAAACGTAACCAACCTGTGTAACATTCGTAGATAGTTATGCCTCTGTCGTGAACGCAGTATCTTGTTTATCCACTGTGTGTATCTCATTTCAGTGCTGGCAATAACTTGATCTGACACTTGATGGCACTGTGTGCTTATCTTACGGAACACAACCAATATTTCCAGTACAGAACGTGGGCAGTACAGGGTACAAATGTGCGTACTACAGAGTTCAACCAGTAGCCTATAAAACAGGAAATATTTCTGTTTCAGTTTTTGTTAGCAGGGTTTAAAAACTTAAAGATTTCACAACCATTCCAGTGTAGCCTGAGCTAAAAAAATTCTAATCCAGATGTTTTGGAAACGGATTTACTCTGTCTCCTTATGACTCACCAAAACAAGAATCTATTTAGCATGAGTGATTTGTATTCTCTCTCACGTTACTGTAAGTAATATCATATCACTAGAAGTTTGAAATGTTTCTCATTCCAGGCCAGAGCAGTAAAGAAATAAATACCACAATATACAAAACTGGCCAAAAATATACAATATACACTAATGAAACAGGTGGTGTCTCTCACTAATTATAGTTCAGTCCACAATAGACCGGTGTCCAAAACAAAACACCATGAGCTGAATAGTAGCAGTACACCAAGAACTAGTCTTAACATTTCACAAAATACAAAGTTGTAGTTTCAAACAACACCACACTAGATTAGGCTTCATTAAGAGATATTAAAATGCCAACATGTGCTGTCATCTTTATATATGCTAGTCAGCTAATACTAAGTATGTCACAATTCTTGATGGCCACATCACTTCAAATGGTTTGTTTTTAAGGGATAATTTATTTAAAAAATGAACAAGCAAAATATTTTGCCATGCCAGACATAACGGTCGTAAGTGTAAAAAAACCTTAAACAGTATTAAGAAGCCTCCTACTTTAATGCTTTAAAAGGGATTTTAGTGCTTGTGAAAAGTGACATTAACAGCAGTGGAAAACAAAAGTCTACCTATAAATTATGTAAACTAAAGGCAACAGAAGAGCCATCTTCAACATGCTATCCTTTCCACATGCAATGAGCCTGATGCAAATGAGAAGGGAAAGCAGTTTTGTTTTTAAATATATTAATTAAATCAGTGGACTCTTTGAGACTGCCAGCAAGGATGCATTTCACATCAGTGGCATTGACTATTGTACTGAATTAGACACTTATCCTGTACAAACCAGATTAAGTCCATCAATTCATTAACAAGCTCACTGAAGAGCCATCACGAAGAAATGACTGTATGTCACGGATTCAAATCCAGCCCAGGGTGGTAAAGAAAGACTCTATGCAAACTCTTAAGTGGGGCTTTTTAAAATGTGAAATGAAAGAAGTTTCAAAATTGAAACTGAAGTAACGTGAGCTATATTTAGACCTCCTGAAATCTCAGAAACAAAAATATATAGCAAATCTCAGCTTCTACTTCAAAGACTCAAGAAATGTAAGTTTGGCTAGTAGAGAAGTATGTAGAGGTAGATGAACACTTTAATGTCATGCACACCTGTAAAACCAATCACAATGCTAAGACTAAAATTTCTAGTGCAGTATTGTACAGTACCATAAAGCAGATTGAAGGTAATTTAGTCAAGTTATTGTAATAAAGTTCTTGTGCATCTGTAACTATTTTGCTTCCCCATGTCTGAAATACAAGCATGGTTGTTTCTTCAAGTTGCACTGCAAAGCAACAAGATTACAACAGCTTTCTAAACCTCTCCCCTTCATTCTGGGGACAGTTCTCTGTTGAATCCTAAAGACTTTTAGACTGAGGAAACTACAATTCCATACAAATACATGCGATGGTTCCTTCAACAATGCTTTCTATAGATAAGGGAAGGAACACTTGGGCAGCGAGCTCTCATTACTGTCCCACATTCCTTTTATTTCCAGAAGTAAATTGTATTAAGGCGTAGACTCAAGAGTGGGGGAACATTAAACTTACTTCTCACTTAAAAGATTATTCATTAGATCATCTAAAATGTAGCAATTCTGGGGCAAATGGTGTTGCAACTGAGAGAGGATTTCTGTGGTCATAGAAATACAAGGACTAGTTTCTGCACTTCTTTCCAACCTTAAAAACAAAGACAAAAATTACTTTCAGAATCTTTTACAAAAATAAAGAAGTGTGTACAGTTTACATGTTAACACAATTAATTGAAGCAAAAGCTATTTTGTCACAGCCATTTATCTACATGCCCACTACTACCTTGTAATCCTTTGGCTCCTTTCTTTCTATTTTACAAGCAAATTCTTGGGTTCTCCATCTCGAAAGCAACGTTCTTTCAGTCTCTTCAGCCTCCCTATGCATCATCCTATCTCCTTACTTTCTTTTCCACAATCCTGCAGCATACCAAATACTTTCATTATGTACAGTCAGACTTCCTATCTTCCACCTCCTCAGGTTCCCTGCCTTCTGTCCCTTCCATATCTCCAAAACTGCCTCATAAAAATCAATAATGGCCACCTCCATGTCAAATTCAGGAGAATTTCTCATTCTTCTTAATCTCTGTTTTTATAGGGTCTCCCATCACTGTGGTATCCAAGCTTCTACCATGAGAAGTGATTTTTTTTTTGGTCTTCACAGCTGATTGGCTCTCCTTCTTCATCCCTACTCTTCTTCGGTCCTCTGGGCTCCCTCTCTACTTTGCTAGCAGCTCCATCAATATCTCTTAGGGAAGGAGCAGCCACCAATCTGTTGGCATCCTTCAGGCTTCTGCTGCATTCTCTACTTGCACTATAGTCCTAGCAATCTGATCATTTGCATCATTTCAGCTCTCATTATGCCAATGACATCGAAGTCTTGTTCCCCACTCCTACACGGCCTTGTAACTTTCTGTGAGACACCTACTCAAGCATTCCACAATCATCTCAAACTCTGTTATTTCAAAACAGAGCTGAATTCAATAGAAAACTCCATTTTTAGTTTAAACGAAGCTGCCACAGAATTCCAGGCTGCTGTACCAGATTGCTGTAATATACAGGAAATCCTGCTGCAGAATTTAGGTCCCACTTGTTATGGAGAACACAGCGCCTTATAAGTATGGTTTCACGGTACGATTATTTTTTTTACTGGATCAGGCATACCCTGGAATTTCTTGAATTTGCTCTTCAGGCACTATAGGAAGCTCAGGCCATGAACTAATGCTCTTCATACACTTCAGCACCTAGGAAGTCAAAATACACCTTAATAAAGCCAAACTTCAATACAAGATATAGCCCATATGACATACCTTGCAACAGCAACCCATTTTACTATTTAAATTTTCTAAAATCTCTAACTTTTAAGTCATTCGCTCAGTAGTTACAATTAAGGTATGTATGTTCAAGACATAAGGGTGGAAAGTCCTAAAATAAATGAAAAGTTCATGCCACAATATAAGCTTAAACTGCAGCCATTTCTTACTTTCCCCATTGTTTAATATGAAAGAATTAATCAGTACTATCACTGTAATGTACTTCATATCCTCACTAACTTAAAAAGTTTGTAAGAAGGAACTGTCTAATACAGACCCAACTCAATAAAGAGAGAGAGACTATCAAGCAGTTCAGTGGTTCTCATATTGCAATCTGCAGATTACTCTCAGGGCACTGTGCTCAGGGGGGCACCACTCCGTGCTTCTGGGGTAGGGGTGCCCCTCCTCCCACTGACTTGCTCCACTGCTGCTCGCGCCTCTTTCCCCGCCATGAAGCTGCCCCTGGCCAAGCTGCTCCGGACCAATTAAAACTGCGATTAATCATGACTTTTTTTAATCTTACAAATTTATTAGAGCATAAGCTTTCGTGGACTACAGCCCACGAAAGCTTATGCTCTAATAAATTTGTTAGTCTCTAAGGTGCCACAAGTACTCCTGTTCTTCTTTTTGCGGATACAGACTAACACGGCTGTTACTCTGAAACCTTTTTTAATCTTGTGATTAATCACGATTCATTTTTTTAATCATTTGATACCCTAAATATAGAGCGACATCTCTTACTAATTTTAGTCTAATCCAGGACCTCTATGGTTTCCAAAAGATTTTTTGACCAACTTAGAAAAAAAAAAAGCCTCACTAGGCAAAGGTAGCTATAGAGGTCATAGAAATGTAGAGCTGGAAGGGACCTCAAGAGGTCACACAGTCCAGCCCCCAGCACCGAGGCAGGGCCAAGGACACCTAGACCATCCCTGGCAGATATTTGTCTAACCTGTTCTTAAAAGCTTTCAATGACAGGGATTCTACAACCTCTCTTGGGAAGCCTATTCCAGTACTTAACTATTCTTATAGTTAGAAAGCTTTTCCCTAATATCTAACTCGAGCCTCAATCAAGAAAAGAACATAAACTGCATGGGTAGATAAAGTTTAACTTCCCTCAAAAGCCTAATAGTTATTCAGGACTATCAAAGCAAAAAGACAACAGTTAAACAATTTTTTAAAAATGTATGGAATGTTTACCCTCCCTGTCATATCCACATACCTGTTTCTTAAGTCGGGCAATTGGATGAAACCGAGAACGGTAGCAATTTGCACAGATGATCAGTGGTTTAATGGCTGTGTGCTCCTAGTTTACAAAAATAAATGATAAAATATTTACTAATTTTAAAAAACAGATCCTGATCCTGTAAAAACTTATACACACGCTTAACTTTAGACATGAGACAGTCTCGTTGACTCAAAAGGGACTAGTTATATATGTTCAATTAAATGTGTCAAAGTGAAGGATCAAGACACTAATTAGTATATTAGGTGTTCAATAATTTTTTTTTTGCTTTGTTTTTTTTAAATCTATAAAATTGTGTGTAAAAAAAGCTCCAATCTCCACTGGAATAGGACATGTTGTATCTTGACGATCTAGTAAAATGAGCTATAGCTAATAAATGGAGGTTTGGCTCAATAGAGCTTACATTAATATATTGAATTTAGGGAAAGTAATCCTAAATATCAATAGGAAATTGGGAGGAACATGCTTATTGACCATTAACACTGAAATACATGTGTTGGTAGATAATACAACAGGACATGGCTCAATACAGTACATGGCCAAAACCACATTTCCATTACTGTACCAAGTTCACATTCATAGTTGTATTCAGTCAGATTTTATCTCCATAACTGATTCAGCCACACTTTAGTGTGGGCACTTTTAAGTACTTCAATGGAAGATACTGATAAACTGGAGGTAATTTGGAGTTGACCTACCAGGGAGATAAACAGCAAGGTGGAGAGGACAAAATGATAGTCTTAAATTAAATATATATAGTTTAGGTAAAAAATTAAGCAGTGCAAGTACAGTGAGAAGAAACAAAATATTAACAAGGAGGGGTGAAAAGAACAAACCAGGTTCAATTCAGGAAGGGCAATATTGGGGACAATTTATCTCTGTTTCATTTCAGTATTACAGAGCAATGCTAGAAAATATTTAAAGCTTAGTATCCACCCACACAAAGGTGCTGAGGGTTAAAAACAATTAAGAAAGGTGTAGCCCATAAATGGTTTTAAAATCATATTTGGCATCCAAATGATTATACATTGTTCCACTTGCACAATACCAGCTCCTACCTTAAAAGCTGTGAGCTCCTCCACTTTTGAAAATCTGCATAAAAGTGTAACTGAAAATGCAAGTATCTGATTGGCTATTTCTCTTGGAAACTCATGTAAGTTGATCTCTCCATGGCTTAAATGATCTCTTACACGTGGACCCTCTTGATGGTTCAAGAAATCCCAAAGGAATTCCTGTGGAATCATGTGTGGACAAAACTAAGTAAACAGCACAATTCTACAGAAACCCTAATAAGCATGCAATTCTTGGGGCACAAAAGGCACTTAGGCCCATATGAAATGGAGCACTTAGAGGGGCAAGAGGAACACCTCTTAAAAAAAGGCAACTCCCATTTTGGGAAAGGTCTGAGGAGAGGTGAAAGAAAAACAACAACAACAACAAAAAAACCACAATACTAACCCACAATCAACAAAAATAGCTGAAAATGACTAAATTTAAGCAAAGACTCCTGAGTCTATACTTTATAGCTCTGGCAGAGTGGAACTGAGGATCAGAAACAATGAAGTAGTCTGGATAGCAATATGATAAACAATGGTTAAAAGGAATAAAAAGTCAAGATGTTCATAATAAATAGCCACCTTTCTATAAAAAAAAAATAATAATAATTCCTGCTGGCAGTGAGTTTCTTGATGCCAGGTAATAAAGCCAACTCCCTACAAAAACAGATGTTCTCAAGTTAGGTTTCCTTTTCCACTTCAAAATTCTGTGCTGTTTTAGTTAATCTTATATTTATATGCCAAGTATTATTTTGCCTTTTTCATACTGAAGCCAGATCAGGGGCACTGGACTGTAAGCTCCTGGGGATGTGATCTTCTTATGTCTAAAGAATCTATTGCACTCTTAACACTATCAATTATAAATGTATTGCTAAATAAAAAGCACTTAATACACTTACCATTGAAGGCTCTCCAAGAATTAGAGGAAGCTGATTGATCTCTTTATCATTCAGCTGTTTTGTTAGCATCTAGAAAAAAAGCATTTGAAATTGAAGACAACTTAGTGTTGAACAAACCCAAAGTTATAAAGCTAAATGAAAAATACTGACTATAGTAGTAAGCCATCCATAACATTAAACTAGCACCAAATCTCCATCCCCTGTTTTATTTAGCAGTGATGGACAATATGGGATAACAAAATATTTTGGCTTTTGGAGAGTCAAATAGGAAAGAAATGGGTTATTATAGGCTGCTTGCTTCGGTGTACGTTTGCATTTATTTCAAACAGGTGATCCTATGCAGATAAAAGAGCATATTTTGTTTTTATTAGTGACAAAAAATAAAGCTGTTTACAAGAACTTAAGTTACCACCTAGTTATCACCTACTCATCAAATAAGTAACAGGGACATACAAAATACTGCACTCTCCAGCTTTGGATTCTGAATTCCATTCTGTGGCAGCTTTTGGGACCAAGCTACTTTCCTGATTTTATGTACTGCAAAACCACTGTGCTTTGGAAATAGATCAATGTTTATGGGGTTAATAAAGAGGACTGAAAGAATTCTAGTTCATAGAAACTCTTGATTCCAAACAAACTTGCTGATCTTGGATCAAAAAAGTTCAGTGTAAGTGTTGTATTTTAGTATGGTCACTACCAAAATAGTGGCTCCATAGCTCTTCTTCTTTGAAGTAGAATACTGGATATTAACCTCCTATACCTTCCTAAAATGTACCAAATCCCATTCAATATAGGTAAGAGAGTCTCAACAGTTTAATTAAAAAAATGTGTTCTACCTCAACTGGGGAAAAATCATCATGTGTGTCCAACATGGTGGGAAAGGCTTTACTGACCATTAGTACTAAAAAGTGAGTGTAAATATACATAAAAACAATCATGGAGTTACAATGTAGATCAATACCAAACATTGCACGTTAGTCATAATCTCTCATTAAGGATTATAATTTATTGTTTGTATCAAGCCCCAAGGACTGGTGAGATAATATTCCTTCTTTGTACATCACTGCTTCAGTCACACTTAGAATACTCTGTACACTTCGGAGCACTTTAATGAAAAATAAATATTGATAAGATGGGGGAAATTTAGAGTTGGGATACCAAGAAGATAAAGGACCAGGAGGAAAATACAAAGAAGTGTACACTGAGGAGCTGCCAGGAGTTTATAGATGTTGTAGTGAGTCTTATTTTTCTGTCTCTGCCACCTCAGGTCTGTGAAATCTTTTCTCAACTTCAAAAAGTTCATGGAATTATCTTTATTTTCAAAAGACTTCAGCCAGGTCCATTTGTATGATAGGCATTAGTATCTTTAAATTTATTTTAGTATATTTAAGGCAACAACATCATTCCATCTTTTTCTGTGTTTGAATTCTATAAATACTTTACTGTAAAGAAATAACACATGTTCAAATATTCCAGAAGATTTTACAGATAACTTACCTCATCAAAAGTGGTATAAAGAGAAGATGACTACAATAGAAAAAAAATATCACAGTAATTCCATTTTCAGAAACAAAAAGCGGTGATACCAACTGCACTTACGTATTGAATTTTTATCTAATTACCATGACAAACCAGAGTTGCTATAAATTGGAATCATCCCTTTAAGGTAAGAAAAGAGGTAAAAACAGCATAAGCAGTTTTCCATTCTTAAGTTACTACATTCAAGTGACAATGCTATACTGTTGTACTTTTCAAACCTCTGTAAACAAAGGAGGAGAGCTGTCATGTGACACTCTAAAAGGCATATCAGAAGTCTGTAAAAAGATCAAACTATATTGTCCACCTAAAAGCTACTTGTTTAAGTATAATATTAAACTATTTTAGGACATGTTTGAAGCTTGTTATTAGTAATATATCATAATAAAGGTACCACGATCATAAAAAAAACCCTACCTCAGCAGTTAGCAGTCTATTTGGACACTTATTAACAGTGGCGAAGAGCAACCTAAGTCCAGTTTCCAGCTGAGGGAGTAACAGTATAACACAGTCAGCATACCTGCAAAATTAGAGGAATGCATGTAAGATTTTAGTATTTTTCTTTAAACACACACTGATCTTTGTGGAAGCTATAACTGTACATAAGCACTTGTTAAAATCTGTATTACAGTGGTACACTGGGCACCCAATCAAGATCAGGGTCAATTGTGCTGGGTGCTGTACAAACATACAATAAGTGACAAACCCTGCCAAGAAAATAGCTTATAATCTAAATAAAGACATGATGTGACAGGTTGGTGTAGCATATAATGGGAAGGGAAGACAGAACTAACATTGCATATGATTACAGATCCGCAAACGTGCAAAATTTGCAGATTTCAATTTTTTTTTCAATTAATTTATTATAATGCTCTGTTTCTTGGTCTCAATTTTCTGGGATTGTCATATAAACTCTTACGCTGACTTCAAAGTCTAGTTTAGAATTCTAGCTGTCACTTGTCTATTGAAGAGGTCTGCTATTCTCTCATACAAGGGTTTCACATAAAAAAGTGTAATATTTAATTCTGACTTTATGCTGCATTCTAATGAAAACAGAATTTAATGCAAATACAAGTAAAACTGAATGCCAGGTCCATGAATTGTACACTTGCATGAGGCTAGTCTAACATTTAGATGCCATTAATGCTTCTGGTTCATAAAGCCTTGCAAGCTAACAGATTATTCCATAAATAATGGATGCCTACAGTAAAAAAATCATTTTGAAATAAGGAAAAAAAATGAAGGAAAATGTAATAGTGCAGTTCTGTTACCTGTGTTGCCTGAAAGCTGTTAGTGCAGCAACCCAAAATGGTAACATTGTTTTTAATACAAAACTGGATATCTTTGCTAGTTCCTCAGTTAAGGAAAGTGCTTCATGATTAATATCTACAAATCAGCAAAAACATTTGTTTAAATTAACAATATATACTGAAATGTAGAGAGTTAGACTTACTGAAGAGGAATTATTCAAAGCACTTCATTCAAAAATACAAATTATTTCTGCTTAATCTGTAGAAAGATCTAACAGCTATTCAGTTATTTGGTTAAGCCTTTTAACATCAACTAAATAAAGCTGTACTGTTAAAAACATTTAAGCTCAAAAATTGAGAAGACTGATAATAAGATGCATTATCGGTCAGCTGTTGTACATGACAGACTTAAATAAGGCATGAATTTTAAAAACTGGTTTGCTGCTTATTGGCAAGACTAGCCCTCCACAGCAAGATCGATCTGAGTTCTATGGCACTATGGTGGAAGTTCTGCATCACCTTCAGATAAATTTAGAAAGTGTAGGTTTTATTATTCATTTAATTTCATTAAGAGTCAGTATAGAACCCCCGGTGATAGTTTAATATTAATTAAATTTTGTGCTGTCCCTACATTTTCATTTTTCTGTGTTCCTCAGATTGTCATTTTTAGGTTTCAGAGTTGACAACTCATCACAATAAATGCCTCTCAAAGCCATTGTGTCAGGCAACCTGGACACACAGACATCACTGCATTGCCTTGCATTACGTTCACATTATGAAGCTTTCCGCTGTAACCATAAGGACTAGAAATAATTTCCTTTCTAAAAGAAATCTTAAATTCTGAAGCACAATGATATGGCAAAGGACAAATTCAGAAGCATCTTAGAATTTCATAATACAGGAGGGCTGAATGTTGGGCTGGATTTTGCCTTCAGAGGCCTGGTCTTGGTTCCACCAGCAGAATGAGAGTCCAGCTGGAAGTGGGTCAATGTAGCACAAAAGTGTCCATAACCCCCATTAAGCTGAAGGCCTTGGAGCATACTGGTGCACCCACAGAGTGGGAGGCATTGCCCAAGGAGGGACATAGCTAGGGGATCCAAGAGATTCCCCTCAGGCAGCCTCTACTAGCCAGGTTTCTAGAGATTCCCAGCAAAATAAATAAATAAATAAATAAATGATGCTCGTCTCTGGCAGAAGCCCCAGGATTTGGCCGCAGTAGCACTATACCTTGCCCTCCCTCAGGACTGAATCTCCAGTTGGGTGCAGAATGAAGCCCTTCACCAGCCCACGTGGGTGAATGAAACACTGACTCTGCAAAGAGTTAAAAACTTTGCAGAGGTAAAGTAGGAGATTCTTTATTACACAGATTGTACTTTCATTATCAACAGATTAGAGCATGTACTATAACCCTTATAAAAAAAACTTAAACTTCATGGGCTTAAATGCCCAATTTAGATTTTAGACATTCTTTTTCCATGTATTTACATATATTTATTTACACTCTATTAAGTATATTAAAATATTTCTGCAATTTACTTTCTTCATTTAACAGCGGTACACACAGGTCTTAATTAAGGGCTCAATCCTAGAACTGTGGAACAGCCATTGTTTCCAATGGTAGTTTTGAGTTTACAAAGAATTCAGGAGCCAATCTTAGAATGTCACAGCTTGTTAACAATTAGATACTTGCCTGGAAAAATGTCCAACTCCTTTAAGTTAGTGAAGGCTATATAAGGTCGATGTACTAAAATGGTTTCAGTTTGCAATAGGTATATCTTTAGCAACTGGCCCAATCCTGCAGTTAAAATAAGCAGCATAGAGCAATATCTAGGGGAAATACCACAACATGTTAGAAGAGAGATTGTACATATATTCCAGAAAAACTGATGTTTGTGGCACGGGGACATTCTGAAGAAATCTCCATGCACAAGATCTTGAGATCATTGCCTTTTTAAAACAACAGATCCAATCCTCCCGCTCTCCCCGTCACCTGAATGCGAACACCCAACATCTGATTAGGTGAAAGAAAACATAAGGAATTTTAAAAACCCACTCTCTAGCTTGACTAGCCAACTGAGACATATCTGGAGCAGAGCTGGGAAAACCGTTGGCCATGGCAGTGTTATTACAAAGCAACAGTTTTAAAAAATAAAATAGTGAAGTGCTGCCATGAGTTTCCCCTGCACTCTGCCCTGCCTCCATTCAACCACAAATACAGATTCTGTTCACTAGTTTCATTTAGGGTTGAAATACTCAGTTGGAAGTGGATTGATGAAAAACAAGTGTTCAGAAAACCAATAGCCAGAAGACTGTGGAGGAAAATATACCAGTTTTTAATTTCAAGAGAGAGCTATTGGTTATGCTGAATGTTCCTCTACAGCTTGCAGCCTGACAGGCAAAAAAGAGGGCAAAAAAGAGACATTTGGAAACACTTCACTGGTAACTTACTTTGCAGGAATTTCTTGAGGGGAAGCAAATCCATGCCACAAAATGTTACGGAGATTTAGACCATATGGAGACCCAATGAATACTCTTAGCACATTCATCTAATTGGGATAGAGGATAATTACTACGTAAGGTAATATATATTTCACCTTTTGTATGCCTTTCTCCTGCTAGAAAATTTGAGAGACTATTTTAGCTGTTATTAATATCGTCAAGTGTCCTTAAGCTTAGCCACATCAAGCTGATCAATCATGGATTACAACAAAAGCCACAAAAATAATTCACTTGTGATGCATGGCACACTCTAAAAGAAGGATTTTTTTTTCCTGTTTTGTTTGTACATTACTCAGTTTATGTAAAAAAAGAAAAAAAAATAGGAGCAGCCAGTCTATCACAAAAGTTACAAACTATGCTGGATCAGGAAGAACAAACAAATGGGATCAAATTTTGCTCTATTTTCTAAAGAGTATAAATCCCCAATAATTTCATATACATCAATACATTTATACTAATGTAACAGAGCAGAACTTGGCCCAAGAGTTGGAACTTCTTTAGTCAGGTTGGATTTTCCAGATTCACATCCACAAGAGAAAAAAAAAAAAATCTCAAACTCTGCAGGTTGTTTATTTGTGAAACTTGAATTGCACATACTATCTAAACCCAAAGATCATCCTTATGAAATGTATGTTATATATTAGTTTAAACTACTGTATAAAGACACAAACACACTAAACTTCTGAAGCAGTATCAAATAACTCATGTCTGTCTTTCCTATTATCTATTTTTAGAAGTGTAAGTTCTTTGAGCAGAAACTGTAACTTCTCTCCTGTTCACGTAAAAAGCCTAGCATGATGTAAGCACTATCAGAAAAATACCATCCCCTTTTTTTTGGCCAACTGCTCTGCATAACTCTGAAAAATACTACTTCTGGGAACTTTAGAAGGCATTTCACAACAACATAGTGGCAAATTCTTTTAAAACTAAGCTGTTCTGATGTGACCTCTTCTAGCTGGCATTGGACTATTATAGTTTGTAACATTGCATTCTAGAAGCCAAAGACCTAAAATGTTTAAATTTCTGTAATGTCTGATGTTAATTTTCACATATGTAGATTTTTGGTTGGAGACTATACAGAATATAAGAGTATTAATACAGTATACGTATATCACCATAAAAACGTATTTCCACTTAAGATTAAAATTTTAGCTAACATTCTTGCACTATTCCCTCCGTGAGTCGACTACTTGCTATATTAAGTAACATTTGGAAAGGTATATCAACTGTGTACATTCTACAATATTTACAAACTCTTGTTTAACTTAAGTTGTAGTTTGCTTGGAACCTAGACATCTTATAAAAGGACAATGCACCTCACATGCAGTAAGAACTGACTTCAAAAAACATATACTCACCACAGATTGTCCAAAGACTGCAGCAAGCTCCTGAGATGCAAGCAAATCTCTTAAAAGGAATGGACAGTCCTTACCAATTAGTAAGAAAACCTAAAAAAAAATCAAAGCAGGATATTGTGAAATAAAGATAGATATGTCCCAATATATATTTAAATATTTCAAGTATACAACTATTTCTACATCCATACTCAGTTCAACTAATAAAAGATTTAAAAAAAACCTCTACTTTGAAGTTTCATGAGATGATAAAAAAGGACAAATTGGAATAAGAAATTCTATCATGACTCAAATCAACTAAATCATAGAATCTTACATAGCTAGTTTCTCTGATTCCAGTGCCACTTTAATTCCAGTACTAGAAAGAAGATAGAGGCATGGCAAGAAGCTTAGTGGAGAGAATGTAGGGTACAAAAAAAGGCGTGGGGTGCAGAGGGGCCTCAACAGTGGGTTTAAGTCCACAATCCAATGGCATTTACTGGAAAAGGCTATGTAAGGCTCATGAATTAGAACATTGTTGAGGATCTGCTGTAAGGGTCAAATGTAGTCACACAGTCCCATGAAGAGCCACTAACCATCTACAAATCAGATCATATGCCTAATTTTTTCATTTCTCCAATACTGGAAGCCAAGACTGGATTTTTGATGCAGTAAAGAAATCGAAGAATTCTTCAAACAGAGACCATCTTTTCTCTAGACATTATTCCAGGAACACAGGCCAGGAGTTGTCAATTTTTACTACTGAGAAATTAAATTTTAGGATACAAGGGCAAAAGCCGTGCAACAAAGACAAATCATTCCTTGTTCTTAAAGGCCACTTTGGCCAAAAGATAGAACAAAATCGTTCTAAACTAGTGAGTACCATAAAGGAATTTGCATGAAAAGCAAAGCCAAAGGAGTAAAATTACTTCTGTTTCATGCAGAAATTGACTCTGCAAGCAGCCCAACACTCTACAGTACGCTACAAAATAAGAAACCTGGAGACGCAGGAGACAAGCTTCCAGTTAGTGAACAGATTTTATTTTCAGGCTTTCAAGGGTCATACAGAGAAAGAGGTTGGGGGGCTTTTAAATCAGAAAAAAATATGTTACTGTTCTAACATCCTTAACTAATTAGTCAGTCTCCTTTAACCTTGTAATTAGGTCAAGAACAGAAGTTACCAGCTGGCATCCAGATTTCAAGGCAGTATATGAGGCTTATATCTTACATGCCGCCCTATCTATTAACATATACTACAGAATCCTAGTTTCAACTATAGTAAAATCTGCAAGCACATATCTTTGCTTCTTAAATCAAAACTTCAGCACAACCTTAACTGTTTGCACTTACATCACCCAAGGCTCGCTCCAGACACGATGTTAGTTTCATTAAGCTAAGTGCAATTGCTGTAGCTTCCATGCTATCCAGTGCAGCAAACACTTCAAGAAGTAGCTGTGAGGTTAGAAGAGAGGGGAAAAGTTATGTTTCCCACTATCAATGCACTAACAAAAACTGAAGAAAGCTGTCAAACTTTACATACAAATATGGTTAGCTGAAATGAAGTCTCCCAAGTGTTTCTCAGTGATTTCCCTCTCCCTCCCCACTCATATACAAATATATAAAGACTTCTCTGTCCATGAGACCAGATTGCAGAAAAAGTTGGCAAGATCACCACCTACAGAATAATTTAAACTCTCTGTTCATGCAGTACCCAGCCTTTGATTTCTGACACAGAAAAACAATTCAACAAAAGAAGGACCCTTACAGAGAAGCAAACAAACATATTAGGCTTCACAGAAAAACAAAGACAGTCCTACTCATCCGTTGGCGCAGGCCAAAAACATTTAATAGATTTTTTGATTGTGATAACATGGATAAATTGTAGCGTATTTCAGCATAGTTCTTATCCTATTACTTCATAGGATGCCAATTAGTTTCAAATTCTGAAAGCTACAGAGGGTAATTTGCTTTGCTGTTTACTTTTGTGTAATCTGGTCCCAAACTCTTCAGACAGCTGCATAATTTAAAATATTTACTGCCAATATTAGTTTTTGTACCTCTGTACAGTTTGTCCACTGGAACCACAATGAGTACTGAACTTCAAATTGTTCCATGGTCAAGGATTGTAGATGCAAATGAACAGATTCACATAAAGGTCCTAACAGCTGCACACTTTTTATATAATCCACATTTTGATCTTAAAATTAAAAATAAAAGGGTGGTCAGAGCAGCGAATTTCAAAAGGTCCACTGTCTCAAATCCTATGGAGAACGAAACTTGTTCTCATCAGGCTATAGGTTTTAAAAATCAAAAGTCCCTCTCACCCTACACAGATTATTCTGCAAGGAAAACAGGACACTTGTAGAAGATGGAAAATTAAGTTATAATGGAAAATAAGAGTAAGTACCTATCCTAAATAAGGAAAGGTAAAAACTTTTTTTTTAATTTAAGGTATACAAGCTAAAGGGATTTTTTTAAAGCCCTGTTCCAATGGAAGTTGGAAAAACTCATTCATATGAGAAAAAAATACTTCCAGATACTTGTCTTACCTAACAACCTGAAATACAGGTAGTTGCTTCTCTCTTTCCTACATACTCTAATGAGATTTCCTGTTTGACAGTTATCATGAATGTCATATTCTAATATTTTGCTTTTATGTTTTACAGATAAAAACAATAACTTTAAACAGAGTGTTTCCCTAACATGGGCTCAGACAATTTCTTAGGTATCTAAACATCATGTGCTTGCAAAATGCAGGAGTAGAAAGGGGAGCTGAGCTTGCAAAACCTAGTTTTAAGTGATTTCATAAAGGTCACAGAATTGGGAATAGAACCCAGAACTCCTAGCCCCATGCCTTAACTACAGGACCATCATTTTTTGAAGGCCAGTACATTCACCCATAAGTATAAAGTGGCAAAGTGGCCAAGTGACCTAGAAGTTGTATGTAACATGGCAATATATAAAGTTGCTCAACAAAATATTTGTTACAAAAATAAATGGTGCACAAGTTAAAGATGTACTGCAGAGGGCCGAGTAGAATAGTGTTTTATAATGCACTTGCCTATCATCTCTACCAACTCCACTACAGAAACAAGTAATAATATCTTGCATAAATAACATTAGAAAATGAATCATAAAACCACCATATGAGTTGGTATAATTGGCAGCCTCTCAAGCAATGATAGCTATGCTGGGATAAGGATAGAAGTTTAGTGACAAAGCTGTACAGGTTGCCTGCTACAGGTCCTGCTGACCAGATTCCTAGCTCATGTAAGTTGGTGAAACTCCACTGACTTCAATGGAAAAATGTCTGAGGATATGGCCCAATACATGTACTTTTTCTTAGCGTTATATCATCTCTCCTCTTTAGGATGAAGTTAGCATTCCATCCCCAAGGGGGAAAAATAGTGTGCCTTGTAAGCTGTACTCACATACGTAACTACTAAATATGACGGAGGCAGACAACATAACTTCTCTCGTTTCTATCATCCCTGGAAGCAAGTGACAGCATTTGTGCTGCAGCAGATTTGTCAAATGAAAATTCAGCAGGTTCACCTTGTCGCTCATTTTCCATTGTGGCTAAAGTATTATAAAATGCTTTAGAGAGAAATACTACCTCTATATACCTGGTGTTCTAGGAATCAGCACAGCGGGGAGTAACAATCAAAGGGCAGGTGTCAGAGTGTTTTAGATTTCGTGCAAGAGGGGTACAAAGAAAAATAAGATCATCTGGGTGGGAGGGGAAATCCACAAGAGAGGTGATTTTTAAATGTATTCTCTCTGTACCAATTGATTTTTCACCCAGCCACCGTGATTTAAAAAAAATAAAAATAAAAAATCATAGTATTTAAAGTATATATTCAATGTTTTGGTTTTTACCATTTCAATGGGGTTTTGTGTTTACCCTCCTTCCCCAATAAAGATTTAAAGCTCTTTTTAAAAGTGAATTCTGTAACACAACCTGTGATGCAGCTGTTGCTGTACTATAATACAGTGTCCTAACCATGCTAGGTCTACCTCAAACTGCATTGTGTTTTTGCTTTCAGACACATAACACACAATAGATCTAAAGCAAATACTGACCTGATTCACGGTAATGCACAAACTCTGTGATTGTTCTCCAACATACTTCACCATTTTCAGACACAATACTATTAACAGAATGGCTGTCTTCTATCTCAAATCCAAGTTTGCAAACCATATAATGCACTGCAGGGGAAAGACAGGTGGTGACTGGGTCAGCTAGTGACATCTGGAACACAAAACAAAGGGTACTTCCTATTACCAGGAAAAAGAGTATAAAACACGAAAGTCACTACTTAGTGAAACTGTAATCTAAAGTGTGTGTTTACAATTGTGTTCAATATGGTAATCCAACTAAAGTCCATTCAATACTATAATCAGAGGCATCATTTCAGAAAAAAATTGGGGGAGGGAGAGACAGCAAGGTTGTGTCAGCATAGGAAAGTTATATGTGATTACATTATGCCCTGGGAGGGGCCAACAAGTGGAGCATATAGATGTATGAAAAATCTGGGGGGAGGGCAAACCCCAAGTTCTGGGACAATAACTGCCCCCCTTCCCTCAATAGCAAAGGATTCTGTAATACAAGTTCCCACCACATATGTGAGAGCAACCTAAATGGGCAGAACAACACAGGATGGTGAGGCTGTAGAACGGGATGGGGGGGGGGTGGCAAGAGTTTTGGCCGGG